ACAGGTTAGTAAGTATAAAAATATCTTTGTTAGGACTCTTGTGGTGTAATTGTAGTGTCCCTACCTCTGGACCAGGTGACCTTGGTTCAAGTCCTATCTGCTCCAGAGGTGTGTAATAACATCTTTGAACAAATTGATTAGGAAATATCTAAAAATTCCTTTGGACTGGTCTTTCTAGCATAGCAATATGAGCTGCTACTGTGACACATCATATGCTCACATCATGTAATTTATCAAACATTTTTCCATGAGTTAGTTGCTCCAATTGATTCAGTCACTGATGGGTTTCAGTCAATCTCCACCAATCAGGTGGAGGTCAGCCAATGAGATTTTGGAGAGCTGCCTCCAGGTGGCTCTCTGGAACCTCTATCGTTTCACCTTCACTTTTCAGCTTTGATTGTAGAGTCTTTGCTGTTCCCAAATCATCCTTTAGACTAAATCAGTCAGCATTCCCTCCTTCCCAGCTCGTTTCCACTGACTGCCACTCAAACCTCGGGTCTGCATCCCTCTCCACAGCTGGGTGAACCCACCAGTGGCACTTCCTGCCAGTGAATGTCCATTAGATTGGCATTATTACCCAGGAACAGCTTTCCTGTTAACCATTTGCACCAGGGTCTCTACTCCTTGTGTATGTGTGGATCCTTCCATGCATCTCGTAGGTGGTAAACGGTCCTCAGTGAAAGACCTGATAAAACCTGAAGGTGAGCACTGATGCATCCATCAGAAGCCACTGATATTACATCACTGTATCATCACTCATTGTAAATTCCACCCCACCCCAACAAGGTATTGTCCCTTGCAATTGGCTCCCCTCAATTCCATTTGCTTATTATGAATAAATGAGAGACAGAGTCTCCTTAACTTACTGCCCTCGTAGAATGATGATGTCATTGCCTGATATACCAAAAGCACCTTTCAGGCAAATAAGCCACGGTACCACTTACAACTGGTGTCATAGCAACAAGCATCTGCTACGCAATCCCTTAGAATATCAGTATGTAATAGTGAGGCTGGTCATTCTCAGAATATCTTGGAAAGATATTCCTTTAATAATCAGTGTCTAAGTTCCGAAAGATGCCTCACCTATCAAACCTCATACAGTTTTGCTTAAATATAGTCTGTAATGATTATAGTCACTTTCAATGCATTGCTCAAAATTGGAAAACTTGGATCCAAAGAGAACAATTTTAACTGCAGACTGTGGTCAGAGAGAGCTTTGTTTTTTACATATTGGCTTTGAGGTACAGTAAAATCTGGATGATATAAAACCAACATTGCACCCAATCCCATATGGGCAGGAGGAAGTCAATCTGCTCCCATTGGATCGAATGTAGATTTAGCTCTATGTGATCCTGTGAATTCCCCACCCAGCGAGTTAGTTTTCCCCCAAAACCCTGTTCTTCTGTCAGGCTCATCAGCTCTTGCCAGGATTCAGTTGCAAACCCACTCCCAAAACTGCCGACTTCGGTCTAAATTTAGATCTGATTTTGATCAGCCTTGTGAATTTGCACACTGGTGTGAGCAGGAAGCATCTTAAAAAATCATGACTGCTCTCTGGGTTGGCTGGTTAGATATAGGAGAGCCCAATACCTGACAGAGTAAGGGATTGGTACAACATTGGACTCAAAACAGGAACCTCCCCAGTGTAACAGTGTGGTGTCTTTGAGAAGCATCCTTGACATCTTCAATAAAAGGCCTGCTTACACTATGGAGATGAGAGAGAGGAATTGAATTCTATTGTTGGTTAGACCTAGTCCTTCTGTTTCTGGAACCCATCTGAACCTGTTCCAGATGTCGCGCATTGAGATTTAGCTCAATTTGAGAGGCTGTGGCACAACAGCAAGATGATAAAGAGGTAGCCTTGGTCTCTCAACACCACGTTATGAAATGCACTGGGTCCTAGACTCATGATGCACAGATTGAGTCACTAAAACAAGAAGGCATGAGATGTTCTCAAGGACCTACAATGATGCCAGTTACAATTATTCTGGCTGAGCTCGTGGTTGATGAGACTTGAACTTGAGAATGCTGCATTAACCTCATGTCCAAGGAGAAAATGACTTTTAAGTCATGATCTCTTCTGATCAGTACAAGGCTAACTAATGTGAAGGTGGTGAGTGGTGAACAGACTGATGCCCTAAAGCCAGGGAAAATATTTCTCACCCTGGTGATTGCATGGAATTTAAGATGCTTCTTGACACTACTGAATGCACACCCACAATGTAACTGACTTGTTATTAGAATTTGCACTGATGTCACTAGATTGAGTGATACTGTGATGCCAGTTACCTCACTATAGTTCTTAAGATGTTATGCATGTAAGATGTCAAATCACAACGTGCTCAAGAAATTGGGCATTATGAAAGAAACAGCAAGAGTTTATGCAATATCCACAGACTCTGTGATCAGCTACCTTCTGGCGGTTTCTTAAACCCAGGGATGTCCTAGCAAACCCTGTATGCATCATCAGTCACCCAAAGATGAGTGGTTCAAGTCCATCACCAGAGACCCCAACTGCTCCAGTCAAGTCAACCTGTGGTTCCATGAAAGAAATGGATTGGCTGTACCACTGGCCCAGGTAGCGAGCACATGGCAGGAGTACTGCACAGCCTGCTGCATGCTAGACTGTAATTGACAGAATTCTTAAACCCTGGGTTGTCCAGTTGGGCAGTCTCCACTGGCCACTGCATTGCTGCACATTTCAGGATGAAGTAGAAGGTGACTTTTTTTAAGAAAAAATTAATATTTTTGATAGGGAAATCTTACTCCAAGCGTTTGTAGAGTTCCTTCTATCAAATAGAGTGGGCGGAGGTTGGGATTATGGTATTTTACCAGGTTCTAATCACAAAATATTGGAGACATATACAAAATGCAGCATGCACCTTGGCTTTGTGTTTTAAAACTTCACCACTCAATTATTTAATTACCTTCCTATGTAGATCTAGAGAAAACACTCAGCTTCCCTGTGAGTGAGTTTTATGAATGAGAGTCCCCCACCCCTGCGCCCCACCCCCCAACCTTTTGGAACTGTTGATCAAGACATGATGTCCAATCAGACTGAAGTCCCACCCACACAGAGCTGTCGGATGGGCAAGTCAAAAGATAAAACTGTGACGAAGGATATACCTCACCATTTATAAAGGGGAGCTGGTGATGAACTTTACATTACTCAGGGTTTTCTTGAAGGAAGCCAATTCAAAATAACATTGACCTTTAAAGGCATTAAATGAAGCTCAAAACAACAGGTCACTGCCTGAGTTTGAATGGCTGTCTTTACTGATTGAGGAATGACCCAACTTCCTCACACCATGACATGGGATGATGATGTCCCTTTACTCTGGTGACTGTCAGATTACAGGGGGTACACTTTGGTTCAGAAGGTAGCAGGGCAGAATCTGTGTTTCTCAAACTCTGATGATGAAAATTGCATTGTCTTTTTTTGATTTAGATGCCAAATATAAACTATGCATGTGTTGCCAATGTGTAAAGGATTGACATACTAGATTCTATTTAATTTTTGTATGCTGGTAATAGATTTATTTTATACTGAAAAGAAGATCCCCCACAAATCAAAATAAAAACATTTCAATCTAACCCTGTTGTATATGCCCCTGTCTCATTCTTTTCCCTACAGTCAGCAATTACAGGCTCTTTGCATTTCTCCTTGTACTTCGATCAATGGATGGGGAAACCAACTCTTTATTTCTTTGATTTTTTTAAACAAAATTAACTAAAAAGGAAATAGGTGTCACCGTCGATGCCAGCATTTCTAGGTTTCTCTGAGACAGCTGAGTGGCTAGTTGGGCCATTTCAGAGAGGTGTCAACCACATTGCTGCAAGCCTGGAGTCAAATGTAACCCAGATTGGGCTTGGCAAAGACTTCCAGAACATCAGTGAATGGTCACTCTTCCAAAAAATTGGGTGGAGCCCTCGTCTTTTGTGATGCAAAAACCAGTCAGGACACCATCACCACACAGTTCAATCTCTGGTCACTCGGGTGGGAGGGTAAGAACACCTCAGCTTTTGTTGCAAATAGTGCTATGAGATTATTTTACACCCAAGGGGGTGGCATGGTGGTTCAGTGGTTAGCACTATTGCCTCACAGCGCCAGGCACCCAGGCAACCATCCGTGTGGAGTTTACACATTCTCCCCGTGTCTGTGCGGGTTTCCTCCTACAGTCCAAAGACGTGTGGGTCGGGGGGAAATGCAGGGTTACAGGAATAGGGCATGGGAGGGCAGGTCTGGGTGGAATGCTCTTTGGAGGGTCATCGTGTACTCAATCGGCCAAATGGCCTGCTTCCGCAATGTACGGGTACTAAGAACTAGGAGGGCAAACTAGGCCTTTGTCTAATGTTCTCTACCTGTGACATCTTAAGCACCACGACCTACCTCCTCAAGAGGACACCAAGTGATGGTGGGGTAGTGGTCAAGTCACTTGTATTCTGTTAGTAACCCAGAGGCTAATGGATTGGGCACATAGATTGGAGTCTGACTGTAGCATTAGGACTCTTGTGGCAGAGTGTTACTGTTTCTACCTCTAAGCTGGGTGGAAGTCCCACTGTTCCAGAGGTATGTCATAACATGTCTGAACAAGTTGTTTCGGAAAGTATCTGATCTCAAGGAGGTGAGACTGTTACTGAGCAACAACAGATAGACCTGAAACATTTGCTCTGTTCACAGATGCTGCCAGACCCACTGAGAGTTTCCCACACCTTGTTTTTATTGGAACATTAATGTATTGCGTTACCAAGTTTCCAACACAAAAATGCAGCTCACCTTTCCCCAGTATGAAGCTGAAGGGGGGTACTGGAATTTTCCTTCTGGTGGGGGAGGGGAGAAGAAATGGCAGTGGGTGGGGTGGGGGGATAGGGGTGGTCTGACAGACCTGATTCTCTACCCCTCACCCCTATCCCCATCTGTACACAGACAAGGGTTTACTGTGCAAGATGAACATTTCCTATCTTTTATATAACTCAGACATGTCACATACACAACAGCATTGAAAAATAGTCAATTATTTATTTAAAAACAAATCCGAATATTCAGGTACAAAGATATCAAAAAAACTGAACCAAAAAAAAGAATTGACATGCAATTTGGTGCAAACATTCAAGATCAAAGCTATAATCACTCGAGGGGGATGTGGCATTGAGAGATTGAGAAAAAGCAGCACTTACCTTTGTCTTTGGAAAAGGTTAGCACCAGGATCAGTACCACAAAGATGGACCAAACAGAAATTACAGATGGGAACTAACCCAGTTGGCTTCCAAACGGGAAATGTCACCTCTGATCAACAGGTTGAATGAACATTTGTTGTATACAGAAAAATACACTGAGTCTTTAACACCCCCTCCCCAGTCAATGAAAAGGAACCAGCTCTCTCATTGGAGAATGGATTTATGTGCACCCTATGGCAACTCCCTCAGCCCCCATATAATTCCCTCTGCATCATGTACAGGTTTTAGACAGTGACAATCTTCAGGATATTGATGAGGAGACACAAAGGGCTGAGGGGGGAAATGGATCATAGCCCAGCCTTGGACTTACCAATGCATGCATTCCAAAGCAGGAGACACTGGAAAGTGAGAGGTAGGGCTGCTGGATGATTTGTTATAGCCACGTCCGACCAAAGACTTTCAAACTAAATATAACCGCTTCCTTCTCATTGAGACGTGGCTGTGCCACTCAATGCCGTAGAATCCATGGATGAAATCAGGGATCTGGCTAACGCAGACAGGTATCAGACCAAGCAGTGCACTTCCCACACGGAGTCACTAAGGCCCCCCCATTTTCAACCAGTTTCTCTCCTCCTCGAGTTAGTGTACAAGTTCATAAAAACACTCCTCAGCTTTGCCTCAATCGTGAAGAAGAGTTGACCCTGATTCAAGTAAATATCTTTAAATCAAAAGCTCCTTTTTAAAATAGGCTCTGCATTTTACTGAGTGAAGCATTATGGAAATATCCATGAAATGACATACCATACACAGGTCAATGTTCACTGGATTAAAACCGTTAAGATTCAGATGGACCCTCTGGTTTCACCAGGATTATGCTCACGGCCTTTATCAATATGACCACACAGGACTATTTTCTCTCTGGCAGTCACTTCTAGAAGTCTTATTGAAATCCATCCCCTCACTGTGGCTTTTGCCAGTCTCCATACAAATCTACTCCTCCCTTGGCACTCCCACTCCACTTCAATCTCACCCAAAAATTAATCAATGGCCATGGCTTGTTGCTTTAGAATTAGTCTTTATGCTGGGCAGCGTGAAGGGTGTTCCATTTTGCATTCAGCACATCTGCACCTGGAAGACTATTTGATGGAAGGGGACAGAGAATAAAAATTACGCATTAAGTCTCCAATCTGGGGTGGCTCTTATCAATATCAACAAGTGGATAGGTTGCCATTTCCAAACACTAGTATTCCTTGTCTGCATCAAAACACACAAAATAGCCCTTTTCATTATTTTGGGTCCGCTCTCAAATTCAAGGGGATAGGGGTGACGATCTCCTAGAAAGATAGACTCAAGTAGCAAGTAGTTTTTTCCATACACCTGCACACCCCCAATCCCTCATCATCAATGCTTTCAAAGCTTTTCTAACAAGTATTAAAATGTGTGTTTCATAAACATTAAAAAGTTACGATGTAAGATAATAAGGCTATAAAAACAAGGCACTGGTCTTCACCAAATACATCCTGCTCAAACTTTCCTTTGCAGAATATCAATAGGACAACCTGGAACCTGCTGTGCAAAAATCTGGCCATCATATTGACTAATTCAAACCTCAATTTGTGAATCAGAAAGAATTTGTAAAACTTCTAGTTGTCCAATCAGTCATTTTCAATCAAAAGATTAAAAGGTTATTTTTTGGTGGCAAGGCATTTAGAAATGTGGAGGTTTGACCCACCAGGAGGTATTTAGAATAAATCAAAAACAACATTAATTGCTCCCTGGAAGATAAGTTAACAAATCCCATTCCTTCCATTGTATTTTCAGACTTTTCGATATTGACAACACAGAAGAGTGCACAATGGGACGGTTTACAATCTCAAAATTAACACAGTTCACATAATTTAAAAAAAAATAAAAAGTTACTACAAATTTCTGTCATTTGCCCGAACCTCACGTCTGAACTCCCTTGTAGACGATCATGAGGCAGTTGGTGTCTGAGAGTTTTGCGTTCTTGCGTTTTGGACTGAGCTAAGGCAAGACAAAGGAGTAATTCAAAGTCAAATCATTGCATCCCTTAAAAATCTTCAATAAAGTGCATAGAGTAATAGTCTCCCACAAATTCAGGAAACCAGGTCGAGGTACAAAGCGGACTTCTGTCCCCACAGCTCTTGTTCTCACTCCTGCATCTATAAAACAGAAACACAAAAAAAATGCAATGTTTACATATGTGAATTTCTGTTGTTACTGTTAAGACAACCATTTAAAATATTTAACCGAACAATGGGGTTCACTTCCATGGAAGCAACACTCAAAAGTAGAGAAGTTCTGTTAAACTTGTATCAAACCTTGGTTGCACTTTGTAAAGACACACAGGTGAAGGTACAAAAAAAACCTATAAGGATAATTACCAGATCAAAGACTTTACAGCTATCAGGGACATTTGAACAGACTTGGTCACTTTATCCCATAAAGAGAGAAGACCAAAGGGGACAATAATAGAAGTCCTTTATATTTGGGTGCATTTACAAAAGAACAGAAGTACTTCATTCCACTCCTCAAGCCTGCTCAGTCAATAAGGCCATGGCTGATGTGTTTGTATTTCAAATTTCACATTCCCATCTGTACCCAAGAACCTAAAAATCTATTTAACAACACCTTAAATATATTAAAACCAGCTCACCCTCTAACAGAAGAAGTTGCAACCAAAGTTGCACTCCCCTCCAAAACAAAAATCTCCCTAACCCTGTCCTAAAAAGGGAAACCTCCAATTTTAAAGCATTGCCCCTCATTCTCAGCTAGCCCACAAGAGGAAAGATCCTTTCTATGACCATTTGGTCAAGATCTTTCAGGATCTTATGCACTTCAATCAAGGCACCCCCACGGTCTTCTAAACTCCTGAGGGGACAAGTCCAGTCTGTCCAACTGCTCCTCCTCGGACAATTCCAAGTATTGATCTAATAAAGCCTTCAATGCATTTACAACCTTCCATAAATGAAAGAACAAAAACTGGACACAGTATTCGAGACACAGCCTCTCCACCACCCTGTAAAACTGAAGTATAACATTTTCACTTTCACATTCAATCCCTCACAAAGAGCAGCATCCTATTAGCCTACTTGATTACATACCTGGTTGCAAACTAAATGTTTTGGCACTCCACCTCAGAATCCCATTCTCCTCAATTTAAGTAATACGCAGCTTCTTCATTCATTTTACCAAAGTGAGCAGCTTCACATTTTTCCACGTTATACTCCATCTGCCAGATCTTTGCCAACTCACTCACACTATCTACCTATTTCTGCAAACTCCTTGTGTCTTCTTCACAACATACTTTCCTACTTGTCTTGGTGTTGACACTGAATTTAGCTACCATGTCTTCACTCCCCTCAACAAAGCCATTGATGTAACTTGTAAAATGCAGCACAGATCCCTATGGAACTCCATTTGTCATATCTTGCCAATGATGCATTACTGTTATTTTACCAGCCACAGAATCTTTCACCCATGTGAATATATTACCCCATACCATGAGCTTTTATTTCCCACAGTAACGTTTGATGCGGCACTTTCACAGATGCTTTCTGAAAATCCAATTACACTACAGAGATGGCATGGCGGCTCAGTGGTTAGCGCTGTTGTCTCACAGCACCAGGGACCCAGGTTTGAATCAGCCTTGGGTAACTGTCTGTGTGGAGTTTGCACATTCCCCTCGTGTCTGTGTGCATTTCCTCCAGGTGCTCTGGTTTCCTCCCACAGTCCAAAGATGTGCAGGTTAGGTGGATTGGCCATGCTAAATTGCTCCACAACACCCAGGATGTGAAAGCTAAGTGCATTACCCATGGGAAATGCAATGTGATAGGGAAGGGAATGGGTCTGGGTGGGATGCTCTTTTGAGGGTTGGTATGGGCTGAACGGCCTGCTTCCATACTTTAGGAATTCTATATCTACATGGTCCCATTATCCATAGCACATGTCACTCCTCCAAAAGATACCAATAAGGTTTTTAAACATGACAACCTCCATTTCACAAAGCCATGCTGACTCTTCCCAATTACCTTGAACTTTTCTAAAAGTGTGTAGTTATAACGTCTAATGATACAACTTTACCCTTGACAGATTAGCCCAGAGCTGCTGTTTTCTGCTGTCTTACTTCTTGTATAGTAAAGGTTATTTTTGTGGCTTTTCAGTCTGATGGAACCCTTCCTGAATTGAGGGAATTTTCAAAAATTAGCACCATCCACTTCTTCATTAGCAACCCTGAAGGCCCTATGGATGAAGTCTATCACAATCCAAAGGCTCATCAGCCCACAGCTCCCCAAGTTCATTTAGGTGACATTACAATCAGGAGGGAAGCAATATTAAGTTCCTCTTTCCCTTCCACTTCCCAATTTACAGCTAAGACTGAAATGTATTTTATATCCTTGCTAGCAAAGACAGAAGCAAAAAAAATTTGTCAACTTCATCTGCCATTTTCTTATTAGCAGCAGCGGGTTCAAGAAGGCAGCTCACCATCACTTTCTCAAGGGCACCTGGGGATGGCCATCAAATGCTGACCCAGTTAGTGATGCTCAAGTCCCATGAGTGAATTAAAAACAAAATTAACTACAGCAAACCTTTTCTTAACTGGCAGCTATGGAACTAGGAATGTGCCAGTTGATCAAATATTCTGGATAATCAAGAGGTCCATGTAATCAACACAAAAAAAAACACACTAAGTAATAGAAACGTAATGCAGGGTGCATACACATCACTGTTATACTTTTTTTATAACATAAATCAATTAAATAATAATGCAACTTTGTCTTAAATAGAACTTATTGGCAGAGAACCTTGTCACTTGCACCATCAACTGACGACTCAGATATTGCAGAATTTGTGAAAATAAAGTAAATCTACAGTATTTTGGGTATATAATTTTGGTCAGTTTATCAAGAGTACAGGTTCATAAGGTGCTCGTTAAAATGAAGTTTACTGTATTAACTTTCCATGCTCACTCTCTGGAGGACCAACACTTATTTTACTCGCTCTGTCACCTCAATGGACAAGCTGTGCACTCACGAACCTGTACAGGGTTCAGTGTCCAAGGGAGCACAGGTGACTGCCTGCATCAAAGAACTGGACCATGGTTAACATGGAGTGCTGTGAGGATAGTTTCACGTGTAGCACCCAGTAACATTTCCAATCAACTCCATTCAAATCCTGGGAACATGATTCCCTGGTCAGTCCACTGGCTGCCCTGCTCCCAGCCCCTTTCCACCCTCCTGCCACTCCCTATCCATTCCCTCACTCACAGGGACTGGTGAGCAGTGAGGGAGTGGGGCAGTGAGGGGGTTAGCAGGGAGATAGTCAAGGAGGTAACAAGCAGGACCATGAGTCGAGTACAGGTACTGAGCGAGGTTTCCAATTTTAATTTGCTGACAAGTTTCTAAGCAAATGCTTCTTCGTTGCTAGGAGAGCAATTAGCAGACTTTGAGATTGTTTGACTGTACTACATAACACTGCTGTTCCAAGCTTTGCTTCCGTTTCTAAACACAAGGACATTCTTTCAGTTTAAAGATCCCATACCACCATAAAAATTTTCACACACTCGTCGCTCCTGCCTGTCATTCTTTCTCTCCCCATATTACTGCAAGATTAGTTTGCTCTCCCCTCCAGTTTCATTCACCTGATTTTAACTTAATATTTTCCTCTGAATTGCTCGCTCTTGTTCCATAATTGATGCGGCCACTAGGTGGCAGGAAAAGTCTGTGTAAAAGAGTCAGCACAATGCAGTGGGCAGAGAGAGAGAGAGCAGTGCAAGGGAGTGGGAGGGAAGCAGGGAGAAGAGGGGGAGGAGAAAGGAGAATCAGGTGGGACAGGGAAGAAAAAAAAGAGTAAGAAGTGAGGATAAAGAGAAGAGGAACATGCAAAGTGGGGTTGGTTGGGTGGGACAAAAGTCTGTGGTGAAAGTGGAGGTGTGGCAACTGATCAGAGAGCAGATAGAGATCAGGAGCAGGGATTGTGGCTGTTTCTCTTTATCTCCAGGCTAAGGAGAAAGGGAGTGAAGCTGTTCACAGCACCAGGATGAGCATAGAGTAGAGGCTGAAGGGTCTAACAGATCGCCAGCTCCAAAACTCCCAGGTAACCAATGAAAATGTGGCTCTCTAAATGGAGTGGACTTTTGTTTATTTTGCATGGAACGATGATTTACAAAGGAATGCAGAAAAGTGGTTGGCGATGGAGTGGATCATGTGCGTGCTGAGTCTGATGACGAGGTGTTGCGATCAATGCCGCTCCTGTACTTACATTTAGGACATGGTAGATCCAATCCAGCATTGCCCCCACGTTGCTGTAAACTCCGGGACGATTTGGCCGGGCACAACCACTGCCCCAACTCACAATCCCGATTAGCCGCCAATTCTTCACACGAAGAACTAACGGACCCCCACTGTCCCCCTGAAAGGAAACTGGATGGTAAACTCAACAGAATTCATCTGACAGAATCATCACAAAAATAACATGGTGTCAGTATCATCTACAGCTGCTCACAGGCAGGAGAGACCAACCAGAGCCCTCTCTCCCCCTGAACTGGCCACACCATTCATTAAAACCAACGACAAGCCTCCATTCCACAATAATTCACTTAAAAGTTCATCAGCAACTTAATCCTGTTGTAACAGCGTTTAAAATTCATTCATGGGATGTGGGCATCACTGGCTGAGCCAGTAATTATTGCCCCATCCCTAGTTGCCCTGGAGTAGGTGGCAGTGAGCTGTCTTCCTGAAGCACTGCCTGTGGTGTAGATACCTTCAGGGAGGGAGGGAGTTTGACTCAGCGACAGTGAAGGAACAGCAATATGGGGAGTAGCTCAGAGGGGAGCTTGAGCACATGGTGTTCCCATGTATCTGCTGCCCTTGTCCTTCTGGGTGGAAGTGGTCATGGGTTTAGAAGATCCTGCTGCTATGCATCTTACAAATGGTACATGCTGCTGCTACTACTGAATATTTACCGCGGAGGGAGTCAATGTTGAACTTGGTGATTGAGGCACCAATCAAGCGGGCTGCTCTGTGCAGGATGGTGTCAAGCTTCTTGACAGCTGTTGGAGCTGCACTGAGCCAGGCAAGTGGGGAATATTCTACCACATTCCTGACTTGCGTCTTCTAGATTGTAGACAGGTTTAGGGAGCCTGGAGGGGAGTTACTCGCTGCAGGATTCCTAGCCTCTGACCTGCTCCTATAACCACTGTGTTTATATGGCACCACTTTCATGTGGTGGGAAGGGCACCTGTCAATTATCAGCTCAAGCCTGGATATTGTCCAGGATCTGCTGTATATGGACACAGACTACTTCAGTGTTCAATTGTTCTGAATGGTTTTCAGAATTGTACAATGGACATCATAACGGAAAAATTTCAGCAAAGTGAGGTGGTCCCTTTGGCAAGAGAAGCAAAGAGGCCACTTACTAACAGCCAGGCAGACAATAAAAAGGGGTTTAATAAGATCCTGCTGGTTACCAGGAAATTCAAAGGGATCCAAAAATGAAGAATAACTAATAAGTCGGTGAAATAATTCTGAAGAAGTAGGCTGGTGAACTGGCTTGCATAGACAGCCTACTCAAATCAACAGCCTGTTCAAGTTCAGCACACTTTATAGTGGATGTGAGGAATGTAGGATCAGCTGTGATTCTATTGAGCATGCTGAAGAGGCTGAATGGCAATTCCCGTCCTTTATTCTTACAGACTTGTACAGTGTTCACACGTCAAGGAGTCATGCGAAATTGTCACACAACTTTTCAACTTCATCAATAATCAGTGTGACCCCCTCACTGTCACTCAGACTCTTCTATAACCTGCTGCCTCTTTCGGGGAGCTGGCACTACATTGATCTTTGTACCTGGCATGCATCCACTTGGCCAGCCTGGTAGCCTGCACACAGCATTTGCTCAGTGATCTGCCCACCGTAGAACTGCAGACTGTTGCAAATCTCCCGTCCAATCACCGATACATTCGCCTGCTGAAGCACTGTTGACACTTGACCTATTCAATACAACAGAAAACAAAATCAGAACGATAGCCAGGCAGTACAGTTTGATCAGTGCTGAAAGAATTCTACCTTGTCAGATAAAACCTTAACTGTCACTTGTCCAGCCTTCTCAGGTCCAAAAGCAACATCTCCAACAGCAGGTGGGAATGCTCCAACCTTCTGTCACTATTTATCCCAGTCAATATTTTGTTTAATATCACACCCCAGTTAGTAGGGGCCTGCAGACTACAAATTGGCCATCATGTGAAAAGTGTTTTTGCAACATGTGAAGAGTTGTCAAAGCAATTCAAAAGATCTGGGCTTTCCCCATTCGGCCTCTTGCATATCCCAGAGTTCCTCATCCCACCACTGACATCCATTCCTTCAACTGTTGCAACCCAAGCTGCAGAATTCCTTCCTTAAACTCCTGCACCTCTGCCTCCGCTTCTCCTTAGAACCCAATCCTTCACCAGCCTCCTAATCTCATGTGTTTCTGGAGTCAGACTTTCTGATAGTACTGTTGGTGGAGTGCCTTGGGACATATGACTGGGTTAAAAAAAAAGGTGCTAAACAAATGCAAGTTGGTGTTTCTCAGGCAGCTGGTCACAGATGCAGCGTGGGTGTTAGGGGGGTGGGGTGGGAGAACTGGAGGGGAGTGATCCTATGATGAAGCCACCCAGAGTAGGCCCAATCAAATCTGGCAATGCTACTATTTTGGGGGAAAAAACATACTGTACTTCCTGACTTCCTCAATGTTTGATAAATCCTAAAATGGAACCCCAAAATCTGTTAGCGAGACCAACTGGAGATTTCTAGGATGTAGAGGTAACAACGGGAATTTAAATTTTACTCCAACTCTCTCCACAACAAAAGACTTCCCACAAAGACAGGAAACCCTGTGCCCCTGGAAAAGGTTTGGAGAAACCCCTCTTTCTTTCCAGCCATCTTCAAAATGATGATCTCATTTCATATCCATGGTGATAATTACCAAATTCTTTAGTGTAGCCCCAACCAGTGACCCATGCCAAAATTTTCTTTGGAACTGGAGAAGCGTAGTTAGGTAAACAAACAGGACGAATGTAATCTAGACCGAGAAACAGAAAGAAAAAAAGTGAATCAATAGAAGGAAACATTATTCCTAATGCCATCAACAATTGGGAATCCTGGAATATTATCTTATCTCCAACAGGAGCAATTTGGTCTGGGTTAAAGAAACCAGCTTTTTAAATTCAGCGTGAGAAAGGTAACAGCCTCTGACATTGGGTATACCCATCGTGAACTGCCTCTGAAGTGGTGAGTAATCACCCTCACCTCCAACTGGCTTGCTTAGCCTTTTAGGGAGGGAGGTTAGTTCAGGACCTGGAGTCACATGTAGGCCAGACCAGGTAAAGATGGCAGACTGACATCTCCACAGGGCATTTGTGAACTAGATGGGTTTTTACTGAGACTAGTGCAGGTTAATCCAGAGGTGGGATTTGAAATCTTCTCTCCACAGCATTGCTGCAGGTTTCTGGGTTACTGCTTGAACAGTATTGTTACCTAAGTGCTCCCCAGTCTGATATGATCAACATCTAAAATAGCGAAGTGAACAGCATTGAGGAAAGAATGGGAGAAATTAACTAACTAACTCAAACTTGTGGCTAAGGCTCCATTCCCTGTAGAGTGAACCTCCTACATTAACAGCTATCCTGTTCCCATTTAGTTTTGGGATTAATAGCCCAGGCCACTACAGAGTGACCAAAGATTCTGTCTGTAGCCTTGGCTGATCTCAGTTAGTACTCCTACAACTGGATCCATCCCTCACTGATCACTGCCACATCTCCCAGAAAGTGATTACCTGGAAACCCTTTTCATGCTCACAGACCGAGATTAAGGTGGATTGTGATGCTCCCACAGTCGAATATCTTCCTGGCATACCCTGAAATAACCGATGTACCACTGCTGTATAGCCGTGCCTCTGTGAGGGGCAACCTGGTGGTGGCTCAGTAACCCTGCAAGGGGGCAGGTGACAGTGGAATTGTACAGTGGTGAAGGGTTGGTGCCAGTCTCTCTGGACAAACGTGCCTGCAGGTCAGTAACAGGCAAGCTGTGGAAAGCTGCCTTGAGAAAGCTGTTTGAAGGTCTCACCTGAGAAAGGGAGGAGTAGTGTTTGACTTTTAACAATCTGATAACACAACTCATGAATGAGCAGCACTTGGTTTTGTACTTGCCTCACCTGTGTACGGTAAAGGTGATCTCACTTTAATGAGGGCTATGTCGTAGTCACTGGTCACTGGGTTGTACTTGGCATTGATGACAACTTTCATAATGGAGAAGGTGCTTCCCCCAGAGTACAGAACGTCACTGCCAGCAAACACTCTCCAGTTTGCAATCTGATTATACTCCCTGAAATAAACAACCCCATTCAGAAAATCATTCCAAAACAAAAAGCAGTGCAGTGGGACCCTTATTTAGTGTCTAACCCTGCGTTGCCCGTGCCCTGGGAGCTTTCAACGAGGACGATGCGGAGGGAGCTTTACTTTCTGTTTAGAAAAGGAGTAGGAGAAACTTTACTTTCAGTTTGGAAAAAGAAGTATGGGAGCTTTCCTCTACATCTAACCCCTTTCTCTCCCTGCCCTGGGTGCGTTTGATGTGGTCAGTGTAGAGACAGCTTTACTCTGCAAATAACCCCACGCTGTTCCTACCCTGGGAGTGTTTGACTGGGGACAGTGAAGAGGGAGCTTTACTCTGTAACTAACCCCGTGCTGTCCCTGTCCTGGGAGTGTTTGATGGACACAGTGTAGAGAGAATAATTGATGGGTGATAGAAGATGTTGGTTGGGGGTGAAGTGGGAAGGGGGAGGGAGGGAGATGGTTGCAGGGTTGTAGTTACTTACACACTTACTCTGGGAAACAGTGAGCAGCAGTTAGGATCCACTGGGGGTTTATGATGCTGCCACCACACAGGTGCCGATTCTTATACTGAAGGCTAACCTGCCAGGGCCATTCGTCAATGCTGGCATCTGTACCCCCAACAATCCGGTCAGTGCCACTCCGCTCACATCCTGAAATGATGCAACATAAAATGACCCGACAGGTTTCTTCACTTCCCCAGCTCCATCAGAACACAATCTCAAGAAAATCAAAATCCAAAAGTACTCCTTGGAACACCAGAAACTGTAAGAACAGGAAAACCCTTTGATCCAGACGTCCCTTCCCTCATCATTGATTAATATTAAAGAGTGATAACAAAAATACATCTAATTGACTCAAGTTAATTGGTTTTGTTTTACGCAAGAGGGCTCTGCAACGTGATCTGTCCAATTTTGACAAGATACCACTGCCTTATTTTGAACAGCCACAAGAACACGTCAGAGGCTGGGAATTATGCACTAACTCATCTCCTGACTCCCCAAAGCCTGTTCACCATCGACAAGGCACAATTCAGGAGTGTGATGGAACGTTCCGCACTTGCCTGGATGGGGGCAGCTCCAACAACACTGGAAGGTCAACACCATCCAGCCAAAGCAGCCCCGTTTGATTGGCACAAGCTTCAACATGTCCTTCCTTCATCACTACCAGCATGCAGCAAGTACATCTACATGGATGCACCACAGCACAGCACTATGCTTTTTACCACCACCTTCCAGGCCTGCGATCTCTACCCCTAGAGGGGCAAGGTCAGCAGGCACAGGGCAAAACCACCACCCCTCCAGGTTCTCAGCCAGGTCACACACTATCCCGACTTGGAAGTGCATTGCTGTCCCTTGATCGGAACTGGGTCAAAATGTGTGGACTCTCTCCCTAACTGCATTGCTGGGAGTAGCATTAACAACACAGGCTGCAGCAGTTCACAACAACTTTATACAGTCATCCAGCACGGAAACAACTTCAGTCCAACTTGTCCATGCTGATCAAATTTCCCCAAACAAAAGCAGATCCACTTGCCTGCATTTGGCCCATATCCCTCTTAACCTTTCGTATTCACGTACCTGTTCAAATGTGTTTTAAATGTTGTAACTGTACCCGCATCTACCCACGTCTTCTGCCCATCCTGTGGAAAAGTCCTTGGCTATTCACCTTATCTGTGCCCCTCATGATTTTATCGAGGGTATTTACAGATAGACAATAGAAACTGGCCCAGTCAATGATGCCAGCATTTCAGGAATGAATGAATATACAAAAATGACACACAGGAAAGAAATGAAGTCAGTCACACAGAGACTGTTGCTATAGCTTGATGAGGACAAAAAAACACTTTATAAAACAAACATTTCTGAAAATGGATGAGAGGCAAGACAATGTGAAATCAGACAACATAAAGTGACCAAATGTCTGATCCAGAGAAGTCCAGGAACCAAACAGCTCTGTAAACTGAGAGAAATCGGACTTAACGTTTCAGGTCAAGAACTAGTTCTGAGGAAGGGTCGCTGGACCCGAAACGTTAACTCAGACTTCTCTCCACAGCTGCTGCCAGATCTGCTGAGCTTTTCCAACAATTTCTGTTTTTGTTTCTGATTCACAGCATCCACAGTTTTTATATAAACCAAGATGTCAGCCATTGCCTGGGTATGGTGCAGACTCATTGATAAGAAGTTAATTGCTCTTTTTCAACAACAACTATTAGCATTGCACCATGCAACTCCCAGGATGGTAGAGGATTTTCTTTATTGGGTCTGGAGTGGTGGCTTATTCTTCCGTCAGCTAAGAATTCCTATCTCCCCCTGCAACTTCCCACCAACAAAAACTTCCCTGAGTACACACTACCTGAAGAACACAAAAATTTTTCAAATTGAAAACACTTTTGACAAACTAATGAAAATCTTTAAAGGAATCCATGAACTTACGTGCGCAGACCAAAGACACAATGTTCCCGGAAGCGCAAGACCTGAACAAAAAACAAAAGGAAACAATGGTTAATATTGTTGGAATATTTTTCAATTAAGCTTTAACTTAAAATTAAATTCAAATCTAAAATTGTCTCTCAGCATCAAGATGTTATCTGGCAACCAGGGAGATATAATTAAATGTTACAATTATACTGACAGTTCATCAGGAAAGCTCAAGTCTTTATTCCTGATTTTAGATTATAATGTATTTCATATCTGGTGCATTCTTTGGACACACTCACATGATCTGACCCCGGCACCAACACTACCACTGGCTCTGTGTTTGATGTTATCCTGGATTTACATTTAAAATCATAAAGGGCTTTGATCAAATAAGAGCTGTTTCTAGCATCTGAAAATCAACCATCAGACGGCAGAAATTTAAAGTTATTTACACCAAACCAAAGGCAATGAGGAAATCCAACAGAGCCAGGTTTGACATGGAGTCATACAGCACCTAAACAGACTCTTTGGTCCAATTCATACGAGCTGATCACATATACTATATTGATCTAGTCTCATTTGCCATCATTTGGCCCATATGCCTCCATCAGAACACAGGGACATAAGAGATAACACAGTGTGGAGCTGGAGGAACACAATAGGCCAGGCAGCATCAGAGGAGCAGGAAGGCTGACGTTTTGGGTCGGGACCCTTCTTCAGAAAATTTCTAAAGGGTCCCAACCCGAAACGTCAGCTTTCCTGCTCCTCTGATGCTGCCTGGCCTGCTGTGTTCCTCCAGCTCTACACTGTGTTATCTCTGACTCCAGCATCAGCAGTTCTTACTATCTCT